TTGCTGTGGTGTTCTGGAAATACTGTCATTTCTGCAAATAATCGCAAGGTTTTGAAATTATTTAATGAATGCATGCTCTCCCACTCGTAATTAAATACAAGTCTCCTGAGAGCTCATTAGATACATGTTTAATTGCTGTCATAAGTCTAAGGATTTGCACTCAGTCTGTTCACAAGAGGATATTTACTAACGTAACACACACATATAAGATGCTTATTACAATATCATTTCTTTTAAATGAACATTTGTGAACATGTTTCAGCTTATTCTAGGACAATTGGAGTGTATTTTCCGTAAGGGTTTCATTAGCTTATTCATACTTATAAGATGGACATTAACATATAATTGAATCGAATCGAAGGTTTACTAGAATATATTTGTAATAGAAACCCTTTTTTTCTAATTCTACGAGAACTATGGTTTCTCTTCCGAGAAGTACCATGGTAATACCATGTTTGTTTTGCACGTGGTGAGTATTTGAAGTGTTATGTAAATACCATGAAATGTCAATATGATAATCATTCAGTATTATAGTATTTTTGTAAAGATTCAGTTATCTGCCTGTTATGTTATTGTACAGTTGATTGTAATGGTATTATAAAATGATTGTATTTTTAGTTATCGTTTATCCATTTGTTTTTGGTGTTGCTTTGATGTAATTGTGATGGGAATAACACTATCTGTGGCCAGTCTTATGAATGTGACAATATCCTGCTGAATGCGTGTGGCAGTTTAATGCCAATGCATGTATGATAAACACTTGATTGAAATGATTTTGTAAACCGTAATAAGTAGGCCTATATTATGTTGTGCACAAGCATAAAAGCTTGAGAGGAGATGACATGGGTAGTTAAAACTCAACCAGTGTTGGTTTATTATTTACAGAGATTGCCATCGTGCCATAATGCGTGCTGATTCTTCTAGATATTCACTTTATGCGTAATGTTACAGGTTGACCTTCATGCTGAGGATTTCTGTTAAAGTTGAGCTTATCCTAGAAATCCATGTAAAGAAGTGCATAAATGTGTGCATGTTAAACAATATGTGAGAGGAAGCTTGTTTAACTGTTGTGTGTGTGTGTGTGTGTGTGTGTGTGTGTGTGTTTGAAACACAAAAGCAGATGTTTAGCAGAATGTCCAATCTGCTCTTTGTCATACAATGAAAGTTGACTTATAACTTTATGCTGCTGCTTGCTTTTTTAAGTTTGGTAATTTAATGGTCACCATTTATTTTTTATATGGGGGGAAAAACCCAGCTCAGACATTCTGCTAAGCACCTGCTTTTGTGTTCTACATAGATTGGAATGACTGAAGTAGTTTACAAAAAAATGAAAATTTGCTGAAAATTTACTCACCCTCAGGGCATCCAAGATGTAGATGAGTTTGTTTCTTCATCAGAACAGGTTTGGAGAAATTTAGCATTTCATCACATGCTCACCAATGGATCCTCTGCAGTGAATGGGTGCCGTCAGAATGAGAGTCCGAACAACTGATAAAACCATCATAATAATTAGTGGTCGACCGATATATCTTGGAATTTTTCAAATATCGGCATCGGCCGATAAGTTTTTCTGTTTGGCCGATGTGTTCGAGGCGGGACTTTTCTTTTGACGGCGCTGAGAACTGCAGCGCCTGAGCCCACACCGCTCACATTCTCTCTCTTGTTCGCTGTCGTCGTTCAGTTCTGTCTAATATGGATAGAAATCTGTCTAATAATCAGGTAGAACTGTTAAACAAAGGAATTAAATTGTATACAAAAAAGTATTATAACGATTGCTTTAATATTATTAGTAATAGCTTATTTTTATCCATTTTCAAATGATTTCAAATTTCTTAAATATAAATAATAATAATAAATAAAATTATATCGGCTTTATATCGGCCACCCTGCTTTCCAAGATATCGGCATCGGCTGTCAAAAAACCATTTAAATTTTGTGAACTGGAGTTCCTCTTTTGCTGTGTTATAAGCCGGGCTTCGGGAGCTTTCACTTTCGAATTCGCGATCTTGGTGTCACATTTTACAAGAAAAGATTATTGTCTGATTTGCTTACATCTACACACCTTTCACTTTTTAAGACTAAAACAAAAGACAAAGATAACAAGCTTTTCAAAATGAAAACAAAAAGAAAGTAAAACTAAACTTGCTGTCTGTGACAGTGCTTGCATGTTTTTCCCCCCACAAGAATACCAATACGTTCACCTTTGGTTTAAGAAGTGGTCTTTTACTTTACTTTAGCATGAAACCCATCCATCGTTTCCTCAATATTCGCGTCATTTTTGCTGCGCGCAGCTTCGCGCTCCTGCTGCTGACGCGGCAAGTATAAACCAGGCTCTACACTCTAGCGGTGCGCAGTTCAAACGAGTAGCGCGGTTTCGTTATGCTTTCAGTTTCATTTGCCGTTTGATGTTTCTCATATGCAACAGAAATGGCAGCTCTTATGAGTTAATGCGGTGGTCGCTCCAGTGCGTCCACACACAAAATTTAATCGCACCGGCAGAAAAAATTATGGCAAAATGCGGCCATTTGGTCACACTCTGGAGCCCTGTGCTGGACAGTATTTATTTATCCTCAGTTGTTCAAATTGTGGTAATCGTCAGTTTACACAATCAGTTAGGGGGGAAAAAAAGCTTTGGTCTTCTCTCTGGAGGCCACAAGAGGGCGCATCGAACAAAATATTATGCACGTTTCTTCAAAGCATAATAAAATAACACGACTATCTTTGAAAAAAGTTTAAAATAATGTTTATAAACCTTATATAATTAAAGTTGCTTAAACAATTAGAAACCAAACAGCATCATGCATGTATGTATAGTTTAATACAAAGGACCGAGAGCCAATCACAAATCACAAAGAGTTCATTTAAAAACTTGAGATGCAGTAGGATGGGGAAAAACTGCCATAAAGTCTTGAGACTTGAGACTTGTAAGTTGAACTTACATTAATTTTACATGGCTTTCTAAACATGCCGCTCTCTTGTGCGAGATGCGAGTGAAACGGTGATAGACGTCCCTCTAGAAAATGTGATAAATATGCGTTCTGTGTGAACGGTTTGGTTTCGTTTTTGACGTAAACAACATCTCCGCATTGATGTTCTTTTTTCCCGCAATATTTTGAATGAACAACATAGCAGTTACATCGTCCGTGCGCCACTGATAAGCCTGACTGATGCACACCTAAAATTCGAATGCAACGTTTTTCCGGTTTTTCCGTGATTTTTATTTTAAATTCGACGAATATTCGAAATTCTTTTTTTTTTTTGACAGCCCTAGTGAGGAGAGAGAGAGAGAGAGAGAGAGAGAGAGAATGATCGAGAGAGAGAGAGAGAGAGAATGATGGAGAGAGAAAGAGAGAGAGAGAGAGAGAA